CCTAAAGTGTGCCAAGAAAACATCCCCCACACCATTACACCACCACCAGCAGCCTGCACAGTGGTAACAAGGCATGATGGATCCATGTTCTCATTCTGTTTACGCCAAATTCTGCCTCTACCATCTGAATGTCTCAACAGAAATCGAGACTCATCAGACCAGGCAACATTTTTCCAGTCTTCAACTGTCCAATTTTGGTGAGCTCTTGCAAATCGTAGCCTCTTTTTCCTATTTGTAGTGGAGATGAGTGGTACCCGGTGGGGTCTTCTGCTGTTGTAGCCCATCCGCCTCAAGGTTGTGCGTGTTGTGGCTTCACAAATGCTTTGCTGCATACCTCGGTTGTAACGAGTGGTTATTTCAGTCAAAGTTGCTCTTCTATCAGCTTGAATCAGTCGGCCCATTCTCCTCTGACCTCTAGCATCAAAAAGGCATTTTCACCCACAGGACTGCCGCATACTGGATGTTTTTCCCTTTTCACACCATTCTTTGTAAACCCTAGAAATGGTTGTGCATGAAAATCCCAGTAACTGAGCAGATTGTGAAATACTCAGACCGGCCCGTCTGGCACCAACAACCATGCCACGCTCAAAATTGCTTAAATCACCTTTCTTTCCCATTCTGACATTCAGTTTGGAGTTCAGGAGATTGTCTTGACCAGGACCACACCCCTAAATGCATTGAAGCAACTGCCATGTGATTGGTTGATTAGATAATTGCATTAATGAGAAATTGAACAGGAGTTCCTAATAATCATTTAGGTGTGTATGTGTGTGTGTGTATATATATGTGTGTATATATATATGTGTATATATATATATATATATATATATATATATGTGTATATATATATATGTGTATATATATATATGTATATATGTGTATATGTATATATATAATGTGACAATAATGGGTCACTCAGAGCAATAAACCTACCAAAAATTATCATCCAAATCTGCAGCTCCCCACGGCTTTACGGGGCTAGTGAGTTTCATCTCATTGTCTTGGCCAACAAAATTACTGTTTTGGTTCACCACTCACTGCTCTCATAAATGGTGTCTCAGCCACAGAAGGCAGCTGTTGTCAGTGAAAAAGCTCTAAAAACCAAACAGCAGACAGCAACTAGCTAATGTACATAATGAAGCATTTAGCAGCTAAAGAGCCAGATATTCAACCTCAGTTAAAGTACATCACACACACTGAAAGAAATGTCCTCCATCCCTATCTAACTTTCTGTGTTTTGATTATGTACATTCTTCTTTCTGCACATGCTAACTTTACATTTACAGGTAGCCAAATACAGTAATTCCAGGAGATCCCATATTATGCTGTATGTGGATGATCTTCTGTTTAACAGAAATAGCTGCAGAGGTGTCTTGTATAAAGCACAACAGCAAACATTTGTTTTCTTTGCTGAATGTTTGCTCATGGTGGTGGCTAATTTATTATTCCACGATAAAACGTAATGTTTACTAACTTGAAAGCATGTAAACAGAGCCCCATCTTGTGAACACTTACGTGAAAATTGACATTCAGTTTACATTTTTGCAGGAAGGAAAAATATAGTTATGAAATAGTTATCATAACATTAGATGGCCATCGACTCACACTATAAATGTATTAGGGGTTTTGAAAATTGTAACATGATGCTCAGTAGCTGTCTTTCTCCTGGTAGTTCTACACCCACACAGACACACACACAAACACACACAAACACCTCGTTACAACCTGACAAAGACACTAAGTGATTTGACCCTTATCCACTCAACATGCAGCACACTGCTCATCAGTGTTCCCAATCGTGGCTGCTAATATTCACTGGTATCGATTGAGGTGTCAAGGTTTGTGGAAGGTGTAATGTTTATTGATCGTGGTGCTGTGCTCGGGTTAAGGGTAAGGTCAGTCTTTTCAATCACTCCTGAGGATTTCTTCCAGACCTGTAGAGGTGCCCCCCTCAATCAATGGCTCATTACTGTGCTTCTTCACGTAGCAGCAGCAGGGATAGAAAGAGTTTTAGAATATTTTACTGAGGTACAATTACTGTAACTAAATTACTATATTTACCCAAGTACAAGTAAAATTACTTGTGTAAAACTTTAGTGAGTAAAAAGTCAGTCATATGGCACTTGACAGCCTGTGCATACAGATTTTCAATTATACAACCACCTTTCTCAGTGTAGCTTTACTCGAAAAACCAGAAAAGAGGACAGAAGATAATTAAACAACAATGTTTGGTAAGAAATAAAAAGAACTATGAACACTGTGGCGGGTTCAACAAGCCACATTTACCCACATAAATTAAATAACTGGGCAATCTAGAATTACCAGCAGAATAAAAATCACCAAAGCTAACAACACAGTGATGAGCAAAACGCTATGTTACCTGACAGCACTGACAATCTCCTCTGTGCAATGACTTCAAACATCCATCTATCAGTGAGTTTGTTGTACTCACCTGTCTGAACGTCATTGAGTCAGTGAGTCTTATGCACTGTGAAGTCCTCCATAATGTGCTCTATTCAACTTCTCTGTTAGTTTATTCTCAAAGCATAATATAACCAGTCCACTCAGCCTCTCTGTCCCACGACGCTCCTCAAAGCTTTCAAACATTTTGAGCTGAATGAGTCTCTGCAGCCTCAACTGTCAATGGGTTTAACAGTCAAAAATATAAGAAAGGCCTCACTCACTGAAAGTAAACGTTCCTCAGTGAACTCAGAAGTCGCAGCTGGAGGATCCACCATGAGCATTTTAGCATTTAGCATAATTAGCCAGACCCAGTATGACATCTTGTGAAATATATAATGCATTTGTCTGCTCAAAACATTGTTGACGAAAGGTCATATATTTGATATGCTTTTTGCTTTATTTTGTGTATTCATTTGAGAATAAACTTAATATTCTCGATCATCTGGAAAAATAAAGAAAGTCACCAAAGACAAAACAGAATAATCCAGTGTAATAACTTTACTACGCTTCTGCAGAGCTGGTGCTCAGCTCTAAGGGAGTACATTACCTGTTTTCTGAGATATAGTGTCTGGCGCTGTTGACAGAGAAATGTTTTGACATAGAACAGTAAGACCAGTGACCCCCTTAGGACAAACTGCCTATAGACCATACTATCAGCTTCTCAGAAATATGGCCACTGCTTTTCATTCTCCTGCTCCCCGCTTTGTCCCTCGAGCGCAATGTTACAGATGTAACATTGCTCAATTACAGATACATGTTAATTACTGTCTCATATTCTGTATCAAGGGTGTCTAAATTGTCTAGACGCTCACAAGCATCAACAGTTACAGGAAAAAGATGCATCACCTGTAATTATTTTAATGATGATGTAGGTGGTTTTGTGTGAACATGAATGGTTACAACTTCTAAATTAGCCTTGCCAGAACAGTGCCTTGTATCATTATAATGCGTCAACTTGACTTCCTTTGGGACCAAATCCAACAATAAATGCTCACTGCCAACACTCTCGCCCTTAGGTGAAGACGAAAAAAGGATTGTTTTTGTTAACCTGCCAATAGAGACTTTGAGTGCACGAGGCACATTTAAAAATAAACCACTGTGTGCAGAAAAAATGCAGTTCAATCAACGCAGTACATTTTTACATGTGATAGAGGTCTAAGCATGAAAACATGCATTTCCCTTCCAAATTCAAACTGCAACTCCTAAACCTTCAAGGCCATTTCAGACTATCATTCCACCTGATTAAGAAGAATAAGGGTGCTATTAGTTTGAAAGAATATGTGTCACTGGTTCCTTGGCTTATTTCTCTATGTTGTTGGTGGAATAGTGCTTACTCTGTGTTTGTCCACCACTGTGTGGGCAGTATCCTGACTGCTTACAATGACAGTAGCCTACACACATGCCTGGCTCTGGATGTGAGTCTGTCAGCAACTCAGAAGGCTGCATGTCTTGTAAGCTAACTTGTATGCAAATCATGTTTTTTTTAATGTTTTCTGGGGGGGTTTGCAGTTGGTTTTTCAATTTAGCTTTCAGTCCACCTCATTGTTGAGACTCTATTTGATTTGTATATTGAAGTTCAGGATTTACCATCTTTGACATCTTTGTCAGAGATCCTGTGGCCTCTACCATGTCTTATTTTTTAGTAATGACATGGTTATAGTGGGGTAATAGTTTGATGATAAAGAGGTCATGTGAGGAAGTAAACAGACATGCAGTTTGTAAAACAGATGTCACACTACATTGTGCAAGTAGAAAATATTATCTTGAAGTGAAATAGAGGGGCGTACGAGTGACTTAGAACCATGCTTAGAACCTTGGGGGGGACGCAGAAATGCTAGGGGGGGTTCGGGGCTTGTTCCACCGCAACCCCACACACGATTTTTTTTTACATAAAGCACAAATGCTCATTTGTAATGAGTTTTGAAAACAAAATATACTTATCGGAGATCGTATTTGTTTTAATTCTCCGTTTCTAAACTAAAACAGAGTAGTGCAGATGGGGCCTTATTCTCTTATTCAGATGAACAAGCTTCAACTTCAACAAAAGCAAAGCTGCCATTCAGATAGTCCATTAGGACAGCGCACCACTCAGCACGTTCCTCTTTTCCTCACATTACCTGTCTCCCCCAGCTTCTGTTACTCTTTTAAAACTGAATGTGTTTGAACTGCAAGACCTATTGTTAATGGGATTAATTACTTTATTGCCAAGTTGTTTATCCAGTTTTTATGAAATCTCACAGAGTGGTAACATAATGAGCAATGCTTTGTGGAATTAAAAGCTTTATGAATCATGGTTTTGATATTTACTAGAAATGACAATGTAGAGATGACACACTGTAGATACATATCTCGTGGACTGCAAAACCCAGGAGGAAGTGAGTAGAGGAAAAGTGGCACAGCACTGCCCCCATGTGACATCTCAGCGTGAAAATGTCATCTTGTTGTTAAAGTAAATTCCTCCCTAAGTTTGAAGAAGCAGGCCCTGTTCTCTCTTGTCTTTAATTTATCAAAACAATAATGACAGTGAGAGGCAATCATTTTAGTTCTCAGATTTACTTTATTTAGATGTATTTGATGTGTTGCAACATTCATCAGTCATGTTGATAAAAAGACTTTAACAAAATAAATCTGGTTTCAACATAGTTTTATCTTGAAGGCAAAATAAGGCAAAACTAAGCAGGGAAATATCTGACAGGAAAAAGAACAAGCCAGAAGCCAATCAGTTCAAAGTTACTTGACTTCTTCTTCCACTTACTAATCAGTGCTCAAATGTAGGAGTGAATATGTCAACTGAAAACATCCTACCCTTGTCAGATACAGTACAAAAAGTCGAAGTTGTCAAGATAGAGATTTTCAAATGCTTTCCTTGCTTAGTTTTAAGGATCCATCAAAACTTTCTTTTTCCTGACCCTTTTCTTGTACATTAAGAAACAGTATAGTGTATCACCATGAAAGGGTACAGATCAAATTTAAGAGTGGAACAGGAAGAAGGACAGGTTATCTTTTTAATAGACTCTCCTGGAACTGGTGGTTGAGACTGTGGACTTGGTAAGAGCACTGCCATAACCACCACCATAGCTGAATCCCCCACTGGAGCTTGAGCTGGAGAATCCTAAAGCAGGAAAAAAACAAGCAGGCAAGTATTATCATTTATCCATCTGTCTATGTGGTCTGTTGGTTCAGGTATCACTTATGATGACAATGTTCAAACTTTGAAACTTACCACCACCTCCAGAGGTCTGCTGCACATGGATGGTTGCACTGGAGCCTCCACTGGCCAGTCTAATGGTGAAATAATGAAGAGTTACTGTTTAATTCAGACTTGAAGCTGATGCTGCAGCCATGAAACTACATTGAATATCCAAGTTTATCCCACCTGGTCTCCTCTCCTTCCAGCAGTTTCCTATAGGTGGCGATTTCGATGTCCAGAGCCAGCTTGACATTCATCAGCTCCTGGTATTCGCGCACCTGGCGGGCCATGTCCTGCTTGGCTCTCTGCAGAGCATCCTCCAGGTCCTTGATGCGGAGCTTGGCATCCTTCACTGCCAGCTCACCACGCTCCTCAGCTTCTGCAATCTGAGCCTCAAGGTTGGCCCTCTGTGGAAAATGATGTCACAGATGGTTTAATAACAGCAACATTTCTTGTACAATGCAGTGTGTTATAAGACATCATCCTTGAGAAAGTCTTGAAATATACCTGTCCCTTGACAGCCTCAATCTCATTCTGAAGACGGGAGATCATGCGGTTCAGCTCAGCAATCTCAGCCTTGGTTGTGCGCAGGTCATCACCATATTGTCCGGCAGAGCTCTGCATCTCCTCGAACTAAAATGAAAAATATGACAAGGTGCATCAACAACATGATCCAGAAGGTTGGGAGCGGTGTTGCAAGTGTATATAAAGACACAGGGGATAAAACTGGGCTTTGCCTTTTACTCACCTTCTGTTTGTACCAGGTCTCTGCTTCAGCCTTGCTGCGGTTGGCAATGTCCTCGTACTGAGCACGCACTTCAGCCACAATGGCGTCCATGTCCAAGTTACGGCTGTTGTCCATCTCCACGATGACAGAGGTGTCCTTGATCTGGCCCTGCAGCTCACGAAGCTCCTACAGAACCAGTAGTTGTTCAGTTAACTCTTGATGATCATCAGCTTTAACGCAAATGGTTATTATATTATTTGAAGTAGGTGGATTAAGACAATATAGATACATACAGCCTCATAGACGGCCCTGAGGAAGTTGATCTCATCCTGAAGAGCATCGGCCTTGGCTTCCAGCTCCACCTTGTTCATGTAGGCAGCATCAACATCCTGGAAAGCAAATGACATACAAACAGGAAGTGTTAAATATGGCCCCATTGTATCAAACCCTAGGATAAATTTGAAAATTGAAGGACCATCTTGATGTATTCGCACCTTCTTCAGGAACACAAATTCGTTCTCTGCAGCAGCACGTTTGGTGATTTCATCTTCATACCTATTTGAACACAAGGCAACTCTTTAGTACATCTACTCCATTTTCCACACTCACTATATCAGGTACATGTTACAATAATAATAATAAATTTTATTTATAATGCACTTTACATTTCAACAAAATCTCAAAGTGCTACAGTAGCAGGGGGTTAAAAATCGTTCCCAAAATATAACAAAGTCAACAAATAGCAATAAAACACCACAAAAATAAAATTAATATCCTAGGGTTTTTATAACTAGTGACCATGTCAAGAAAACACTCACTTTCTCTTGAAGTCCTCAACCAGACCCTGCATGTTCCTCAGCTCTCCCTCCAGCTTGCCCTTCTCATTGCCCAGCCCGTCAAGCTGTCTGCGCAGGTTGGCAATGTAGGCCTCAAACATGCCCTCGATGTTGGAGCGGGTGGTGGTCTGGTCCTGCAGGAGGCTCCATTTGGTCTCCAGCATCTTGTTCTGCTGCTCCAGGAAACGGACCTGTGGAGACACAAAACCAGGGAAGATTGTTTAAAAAGCATCTTTTATATATATTTAATGATGCATACCCATAACAACCAGGTGATAGATGCAATGTGCAAAAGACAGACTTTAGCATAGTCCACAAAGATCCCTATTTTCTCTGCCAGTCTCCCAGGTAAGGGATAGTTGAGTCACTGCAATATAATCCCCATCAACAGGGCTATAGGCCATGGCTGAGCCTGTAGACTCAGTTGCTGGTGTACAATTTGGTCACTCACTCAGACTTCGAGATTTTAATGAAATTTTCTAATCCCAGATTAGAGACAGATACAATTCACAGCTCTCTTGCTTTGTCTACTTTGTCAGTAACATGTTTGCATCTAATGAGCAGTGCTCAGCAGTTTCATTAAACATCTCATTAAGCAGACTGATGTTACCATACTATATACTATAAGTTCAAACATTCTAGTAATTTCTTTTCAATTACAGATTGAAGGAGAACAATAAGACACTTTACTTTTGACAGCTGCAAGAGGTAAATGTAGCCCAGGGAGATAAGATAATGAGGCCAACAGTCAATTGTACATCACAAAGTCACACAGAGCTCACAGGAACCAACCTTGTCGATGAAGGAAGCAAAGCGGTTGTTCAGGGTCTTGATCTGCTCCTTCTCCTGGGTGCGGACAGCCTGGATGGTGGGGTCAATCTCCAGGTTCAGGGGGGCCAGCAGGCTCTGGTTTACTTGGACAGCTGTGATCGGTGGGGGCACAAAACCGCCTGATGTTTGGCTAGAAGAAAAGCCATAACTAGAGCCAGAACCACCACCCATTGCAGACATACTAAAACTAGCACCAGCACTAGAGCCAACACCACCGTAACTGGTTCTTTTGACGGAGTAGCTGCTTCCTGGTCCTGCAAAAGTCCTCCTGGTGCTGCTGCCAGAGCTTGTGACAGAGTATGCTTTCCTCATTGTGTTTGCAGGTAAAGGTGGTCAACTCTGAGCAGAGAAGAACTGAAGTTGAGCAGGATTCAAAGGTGAGCCAAGTCCCTCTGAGTGTCTGACTGCAGACTCTGCCTGCTTTTATGGCTGTGCTGAACAAAGGGGAGGGTCCTCTTCAGCCACTTCAACCTGTACTCTTACTTTTGCTGTCCAGCCGCCCCTCCACCTCAGCCTGCAGGCCTCAGGCTCTGAATGATAGGAATGGCGTATCCTGTAAAACAGGTAGGGAGGGTTACATAACCTTCACTAGGACAGCCTGAAGGGGAAGAGAGCTAGAGGTAAAGAAGTGGAGTACAAATGTGAACATGTGAGGACAGAAAGCCTCTTTCATTGTGTAACCCCTGTAGTTTACTTAGTGGTCACAGGGCAGTGAAATGAACATTGTTTCACAGTAGGCTTGGATATAAACCATGTTCATTCACAATATTTCAGTATTTGGAACATGGTGAAACACATTTGAAATATGCTAAATGTAGACTACTTTAACTTATGAATAAACCATTTTCAGTGTACTTTTACTTTTGCTGCTAATGAGGCTTATGAAGTTGTACTTTAAGTATTGCTACTTTTACTTAAGTAATTATTTTCTTTATGATTTTTGACAGTGTTGATGTGTATGTCTCTCATCCTTGAATTTATGTGGAAAGTAAAATGTTATATTTAATGCTGTATTTAACTGCTTACTTTAGCAACATTTCTTATTAAATATGTTGGAAAAAGTTTTTTTCCCCTCGTCTTTGCATCATTATTTTAATATCATCTTTTTAATATTAAATGTGATATCAAAATCAGCACAATACAGGGAGAATACAATATACTCATTGATGACCAGCGCTGCAATCTAACCAAATCATCTGCATGTTAAATAATTTTTTATTATAAGATTACCTCAAAACACCACCTGATATTCAAGCATTGCCCAAACAAGTCATCCATATGCTCTACAAGTTGAACAAGAAAGAACAGTAATCCTAACCATACAGGTTAGGTGGGGTAGTGCTCCATCTGACTCTTTTGAGATGTAGCACTACCCTACCCAACCTGCATGGTCTCATATGCATAGCTCTACACAATACTGAGATCCTGAATAGATATTTAGATACTTCTTATCATGCAAGATTTTAGCCAAGCTGTTAGTGGTGTTAGAACATTCATTGAATGTAAACATATGTTGTTTTAAAGGGAGATTGTGTAACTTTTCAATAACTAATAACAAATTCTTCCTCTTAAAAATTAAGTTAAATCCATAAGAAACAACACCCACCGGTACTCAGCTGAGAACACTCAGAGGTTTTGCTGCTACAGTGCAGGTATGATGATGATGATTTTAACTAATAGTAAATAAGTTTTGCATTTACCATTATCCCTTATTTGTTAACTGTAGTCGCAGTGACCGTTCAGCAAAAGTTACATTGTCTCGCTTTGAGCAAATGACCATTGCAATTCTTAAGCCAACAGTTTTACATTGTTGAACATCTCTGCTCTCCAGATCTGAATCTGTTTGAAGTATCTGAATCTGTTTGTAGGCTCTTCAATTACTTTAAAAAAGCAAATCCCATAAAATACAGTAACTCATACAATACAAACACATTAAAAGCACTTACAGTATATTACAGGTATTTAACCCATTGATGTGATATGTACTATGAGCTATTACTAGTACTTATTGCTGCTCTTACTAGTATGTATTGTCAGTTGTAGATCTGAATTTGATGTTCTGTTGATGCTTGTATGTTGTTCCTCAAATGTAAGTTGCTTTGGATAAAAGTGTCTGCCAAATGAGTAAATGTAAATTATTCTCAACATGCACAAATAAACTCCTGAACACAAGTATAACGTAAATTACTTTTCATAGGATTAACCAGAGTATCTATTATGTTGTATTCTACTTTGTTCAGTCTGCACAAACATTTATACATAAGAATCCTTATCAGAGGTTGAAATGTGGGTGTGTCTGTGCCGGCAAACATATCACCAATGGTGAAAATGTGACATACACAGAATATAGTCACATTTTTGTCTGTGTATTTATCTTATTTTGATGTAAAATTGGGATTAGTATTCTATTTATCAGTTTTTGAAGGGATTGGTGTTGGATCCTGTCCCAACCAGCAGGGAGCACTAGTGGAGTATTTGTATCTCAGGGGATGCCTTTGCATACTTCATCATGTGAAGTCAGAGTGGGAACTCAAGGGTGGGGCCATTGGGAAATACACTAAGTTAAGATAGATAAGATATTCAGTGGGCCACATATACCTGGAAGTAAACCCGGAAACTAAAAACGTTTAGCATGTGCGCCAGGCATGCAATTCATAATTGTACTGAACAGGCGCCATCCTTGGGACCGGTATCCAGATCATATAATACATCCATGGTTTATATATGGTTACTAGTTAAGCTATCAGAATACACTACCCCTGATATCTTAAATAAATATGGCATAATGTAGTAGCCTATTTCAACATGCTCCAACTTGCTCACCATCTCCTTACAGTACACATGGAGTGAGTAGTGGGGCAGTATAAAATGTTTCTGTAGTAGGAGCATTAGGCTTATTTGATAGGGGATTTTAGACTTTCAGAATACGCTACCCCTGAAATGATATAATAACATAATCAAAAAACAGAAGATGTCATAATACTGTGAGGTATCCCTTTATGGGAATGGAAAAGGGAACACATTAGGTGGCATTTTTCTATAGGGCAGAGCGACTCGATAGACCCTATCGATTTGCGCTACGGTAGCATTTTTCGACAAGGCAGCATATATGGACAGAACACCGGTACTCTCCTCTGCCCTCTCCATATCAGGTTCTCTGGGCGCTACGTGACGCTCACCGGCTCCCGTTCTCCCCTGCCTGCTAATCTCCGTCGGAGAACAGAGAAGCTCGCGTGCCTCTCAAGCAGCCGTGTGCTAAATGTAGTTTGTCAGTGTAGCTTGTCGTGAACTGACCAATCACAGCCTGGATGGGGCGGGACATTTAAAATTATTGACAGATAGGTGTCATAACATTTACACCGGGGACGCTGGGGACATGTCAGAATCAAAATGTCTCCATCACTTTTTGAAAGCTTTTGTTAAAAATGTTCTGGAAAAACAGCTTGCAACAAGAAATGTTGAATAACAAATAAAACAATGCACAATAGGAAAACATGCAATTCAACTGAAATATAGAAGAAACAAATGTGCACTGTCCAAAAGCTGATTACTGAATTAAATTCCATTATATTTTTATATTTTGGATTGTCACCTGTCACCTTAATTTTGTTTACATTAATATAAATTAAGACATTTCCACCATAAATTGGTGCAGATGTGTTCAGAACGCAGGAAATTAAGTGCTTAATGCGCAAAGTTTACTAGTTTCCTCTTGTGATTCAGGATAGTAAGGGGGGGGGGGGGGGGGATTTTTTTCCACTTTAAGTACTGGGTGTATTAATCAAGTGAAAGGTATTTCATGATGGTTACATGCACAACCTGATAAGAACCATTCTGTAGGTGACTGAGCAGAGAACATGGCCACAGCTGGTGTTCATAGGGTGTGACTTTTAAACTTGGTGTGGTCCCTTTCTCTTCTTTTTGTCCTTATGTATGCTGTGCTTATAATAAAATTACAAATCAAACATTAACCACATTGTATTCATTTGTCATTGGGGGAGACAGTCCCCAGACTTCCTTTAATTTAAAATTTTTGTTTGTTTTGTGAGAAAGTGGAAACTTTGTGAAAAGCTGTCTATGACAAATTCTTTACATCCACAAAACACTTTTTTCTTCAGTTGGTTTTTGTTTGCATCAGGTATGTCTAGATAAAATTTAAAAAAGAGATTAAGAGATGTGTTTGGCCTGTTGGAAACTGCCACCTTTTTCCAGGAAAAACGCCTAAAATAACATACCTAAAATGAATCAGGAATAACTCCTCAACCATTTGGCCTAAATGCATAATTCTGGTCTCCTTTGAAAGGTCAGAAGCTAAGGAATATAAATCCAAATTAGCATATTTATTTTACCATTACAAACTAAATGGAGATGCAATAAAGAAAAATATCATATTTTAATCCTCGCCTGGTAGAAAAGCTATATTTTTAATGCAATAAACCATCAAACCCATCATCAAATAGATTATAATGCAACTGAATATCTTTTAATACACCTGGAATGCAATTGTAACTGTAAATTTGATGAAAATAAACTAACCGTTATCATGCAATTTTTTAAACATATACCAGGCAAATGTCCATGTTTTGGCAATATTTACTGTTAAAATATTGACTCTTACTGGGATTTATCTTTAAAACACTATTTATGTCCATACAGCCACATTCCAAATAACATAAAGCTTCCAAAACATTGAAATATTGATAAAAACAGTGAATATTGATCAGTATTCCTGTGACCAAATGCACTTGAGAATGGACCTTTCATTTGATACCCTGGATGCTAATGTAGCTAATGTCTGCTACCAGACCGCGAAAAAGACTGTGTGTTCCTAAGCGGCACTTCTCTGTCTCTACAGAAAAAGGCGAGAGAATGCAGGCACAGCTGGCAGGTATTGTGCAATAATCAAGATGGCGCCTGGTGATATTTTTAGTGACACATCAGCTGATTTTTGGACTGAAAAAGGCGAAAATGGCAAAAGTAAGTCAGCGGTCATAAATGTATATGTATATTGGCTTGTTTGTTACTTTTATCCAGCTAGTCTGTAATTTTGGTGATTTGATGTGAGCTATACAGCTGATCTCAGCGGGAGATTAGCTTTGGTTTGAGAGGTTGGACATGAGGATACGTTGTGATTAGAGATAACTGGATGGATGCTTGCAGTACTGCTGCCATGTACGGTGCTCACAGACTGATTTATATTGTGAGCTCATTTAGATTCTTAGTGTTTGATGTGTGTTTGGTGTGGATAAAAATTTGTGAAATGAGCTTCTAGCTGAGCCTCCTAGCTTCACACAGGTGTGTAGCATGGATAGGGTGATGCAATACTAGTTTCACACATGAATTTGTGTGGTGCCCCTGGTACTGGGGGCATCAGGGCTCATTAACTAACAGATAACACTTAGGTGATGATCTGTGTGACAATGTCTGGTTTCGGAAATTGAATGACACACTGATTTATCGATAAGAGTGAACAAAAAGGCATTTGGGCTCTAAACAGCAGAAGTTTGTGAACACACTATCTATTTCACCATTTAAACAGAACAATACAACAGGTTCCTTTGTCATGTTGTTTTTCTGAGATCTTTTCTGGTTCTGCTGACAGAGAAACGGTTAAAAGTAGAACAATACCAGGACCAGTGATCCTTTCCAAGGATAAACTGCCTATAGCTCATATCAGCTTCTTTTGGGTAATGTAATTCTTTTCAATACTTCTGCTCACAGCGTTATAGATGAACTAATGATCTTTATTGTCATAATACTCAGGTACAATGACACATGCATGGCTCCTCCTGATGCAGTTCAAATAAAAAATTTAACAAATAAATGAAAGCAGTAAAGGAAAACAGCAGTAATAGCAGCATAATATTTACAATAAAGTAAAATCTGTGTTTATGAATAGTGTCTGTGGCAGCAGTCTCTGTGTGTGTGTTTTGTGTGTGTATCACAGTCTTTGATCTGGAGAAGTATTACTAGTGTTGTGGGGACAAAAAAATTGTGGGGACTTCTACAAAGCAGCTGGGCTAGACTATATCTCCACATCCACCCTGAAGAACAGTGCAGATCAGCTGTCTCCGGTGTCCCCAGAGACCTGCCATGTGCCAGTCTGCTTCAAATCCTCCAGCATCATACCTGTCCCCCAAAAAACAGGGACCACAGGACTCAACGACAACAGACCCGTCACCCTGAGGTGATGAAGTCATTTGAGCACCTTGTGTTGTCCCACATCAAATTCATCGCAGACCCACTCGTGTACAGACTTCCTGTCTTACAGGAGGCAGCACGTGAAGCTGGGAAAACATAACTCTAACTCTCGGACTGTCAGCACAGGTTTCCCTCAAGTCTGCGTTCTCTCCCCTATGCTCTTCTCTCTCTACACCAAGGTGCATCTCCAGTCCGTTAAGCTCATGGAGGTTGCAGATGACACCACCAAAGCCCGGGATCCCCTCTGACACTAAAACTGATCTCACTGAGTGGTAACATAATGAGTAAGGCTTTGTGGATTTAAAAGCTTTATCAATCATGGTTTTGATATTTACTAGAGATTACAATGTAGAGTTATCATACTGGTGATACACATCTCGCGGACTGCAAAACCAAGCAAGAAAAGGGGAAAAGTAGTGGTAGTGGTAAAAGTGGCACAGCGCCCATGTGAGATTTCAACGTGAAAATGTCACCTTGGTGTTAAAGTAGATTCCTCCCTAAGTTCGAAGAAGCAGGCTCTGTTCTCTCTTGTCTTTAATTTATCAAAACAATAATGACAGTGAGAGGCAATCATTTTAGTTCTCAGATATATTTTGTTGAGATGTATTTGATGTGTTGCAACATTCATCAGTCATGTTGATAAGACTTCACAAAAAAAATAAATCTGGTTTTAACATAGATTTATCTTGAAAGCAAGGTAAGGCAAAACTAAGAAGGGAAACATTTGACACGAAACAGCAAAAAGAACAAGCCAGTGGCCAATGAGTTCAATACAGTTTATGGTGCAAACTTAAACTGTAAACATGTAAAGTCACACAACTTTAAAATTTTTGTATTGCTTCAGGGATCAAATTTGGTCAGTAACTTGCACGCCTTACTAATATAAGCACTAAGATGGAGGAGTGAAGACATCAACTAAAAACATCCTGCCCATGTCAGATACATTACAAAAAGTCAAAGTTGACAAGTTAGAGTGCAGATTTTCAAACACTTTCCTTGCTTAGTTTTACCACTCCATCAAAACCTTTCTTTGTTTTCCTTTGTTTCTTATTTCATGGATGTCAGTGCAGAAAGAAAACAAATTTTGCCTTGATCACTGACCTGGTCCTTGAGTGTTAAAGGTTATTTGTACCTTCAGAAAGTCTCAGGACTCTGATATTGGGGATATTCAGCTCTCTTGTTGAAGATGCTTTACAGTATTGTGTAGCACCATGAATATAAGATTTTCTGAAGCAGAAGAGGGACGGCTCTCTTTTTTAATAGACTCTCCTGGAGCTGGTTGTTGAGACTGTGGACTTGGTGAGAGTACCACCATAACCACCACCATAGCTGAATCCACCACCGGATCCAAATCCACTGCTGGAGCCAAATCCCCCGCCGGAGCTGGAGCTGGAGAATCCTGGAGCAGGAAAAAAACAAGCAGGCAAGTATTATCATTTATCCATCTGTCTATGTGGTCTGTTGGTTCAGGTATCACTTATGATGACAATGTTCAAACTTTGAAACTTACCACCACCTCCAGAGGTCTGCTGCACATGGATGGTTGCACTGGAGCCTCCACTGGCCAGTCTAATGGTGAAATAATGAAGAGTTACTGTTTAATTCAGACTTGAAGCTGATGCTGCAGCCATGAAACTATACTGAATATTCAAGTTTATCCCACCTGGTCTCCTCTCCTTCCAGCAGTTTCCTGTAGGTGGCGATTTCGATGTCCAGAGCCAACTTGACATTCATCAGCTCCTGGTATTCGCGTACCTGGCGGGCCATGTCCTGCTTGGCTCTCTGCAGAGCATCCTCCAGGTCCTTGATGCGGAGCTTGGCATCCTTCACTGCCAGCTCACCACGCTCCTCAGCTTCTGCAATCTGAGCCTCAAGGTTGGCCCTCTGTGGAAAATGATGTCACAGATGGTTTAATAACAGCAAAATCTCTTGTACAATGCAGTGTGTTATATCATCCTTGATAAATTCTTGAAATATACCTGTCCCTTGACAGCCTCAATCTCATTCTGAAGACGGGAGATCATGCGGTTCAGCTCAGCAATCTCAGCCTTGGTTGTGCGCAGGTCATCACCATATTGTCCGGCAGAGCTCTGCATCTCCTCGTACTAAAATGAAAAATATGACAAGGTGCATTAACAACATGATCCAGAAGGTTGGGAGCGGTGTTGCAAGTGTATATAAAGACACAGGGGATAAAACTGGGCTTTGCCTTTTACTCACCTTCTGTTTGTACCAGGTCTCTGCTTCAGCCTTGCTGCGGTTGGCAATGTCCTCGTACTGAGCACGCACTTCAGCCACAATGGCGTCCATGTCCAAGTTACGGCTGTTGTCCATCTCCACGATGACAGAGGTGTCCTTGATCTGGCCCTGCAGCTCACGAAGCTCCTACAGAACCAGTAGTTGTTCAGTTAACTCTTGATGATCATCAGCTTTAACTCAAATGGTTATTATATTATATTGAAGTAGGTGGATTAAGACAATATAGATACATACAGCCTCATAGACGGCCCTGAGGAAGTTGATCTCATCCTGAAGAGCATCGGCCTTGGCTTCCAGCTCGACCTTGTTCATGTAGGCAGCATCAACATCCTGGAAAGCAAATGACATACAAACAGGAAGTGTTAAATATGACCCCATTGTATCAAACCCTAGGATAAATTTGAAGGACCATCTTGATGTATTCGCACCTTCTTCAGGAGCACAAATTCATTCTCTGCAGCTGCACGTTTGGTGATTTCATCTTCATACCTGTTTGAACACAAGGCAACTCTTTAGTACATCTGCTCCATTTTCCACACTCACTATATCAGGTACATGTTATAACTAGTGACCATGTCAAGAAAACACTCACTTCCTCTTGAAGTCCTCAACCAGACCCTGCATGTTCCTCAGCTCTCCCTCTAGCTTGCCCTTCTCATTGCCCAGCCCGTCAAGCTGTCTGCGCAGGTTGGCAATGTAGGCCTCAAACATGCCCTCGATGTTGGAGCGGGTGGTGGTCTGGTCCTGCATGAGGCTCCATTTGGTCTCCAGCATCTTGTTCTGCTGCTCCAGGAAACGGACCTGTGGAGACATAAAACCAGGGAAGATTGTTTAAAAAGCATTTTTTAAATATATATTTAATTAGTAAAATGGGGTCACAAAGCATTTTCATAAAATTTCCTAATCCCAGATTAGAGACAGATCATATTCACCGCTCTCTTGCTTTATTAGTAAAAGGAACTTGTTTGCATCTAGTTTCATTAAAAATTTCATTAAGCAGACTGATGTTACTGTACTGTATAGTAAAGTTTTAACTTTCTAGTCTTTTCTTAGAGGTTAGAGGTTGAAGGAGAATAATGAGACACTTTACTTTTGACAGCTGCAAGAGGTAAATGTAGCCCAGGGAGATAAGATAATGAGGCCAACAGTCAATTGTACATCACAAAGTCACACAGAGCTCACAGGAACCAACCTTGTCGATGAAGGAAGCAAAGCGGTTGTTCAGGGTCTTGATCTGCTCCTTCTCCTGGGTGCGGACAGCCTGGATGGTGGGGTCAATCTCCAGGTTCAGGGGGGCCAGCAGGCTCTGGTTTACTTGGACAGCTGTGATCGGTGGGGGCACAAAACCGCCTGATGTTTGGCTAGAAGAAAAGCCATAACTAGAGCCAGAACCACCACCCATTGCAGACATACTAAAACTAGCACCAGCACTAGAGCCAACACCACCATAACTGGTTCTTTTGACGGAGTAGCTGCTTCCTGGTCCTGCAAAAGTCCTCCTGGTGCTGCTGCCAGAGCTTGTGACAGAGTATGCTTTCCTCATTGTGTTTGCAGGTAAAGGTGGTCAACTCTGAGCAGAGAAGAACTGAAGTTGAGCAGGATTCAAAGGTGAGCCAAGTCCCTCTGAGTGTCTGACTGCAGACTCTGCCTGCTTTTATGGCTGTGCTGAACAAGGGGGAGGGTCCTCTTCAGCCACTTCAACCTGTACTCTTACTTTTGCTGTCCAGCCGCCCCTCCACCTCAGCCTGCAGGCCTCAGGCTCTGAATGATAGGAATGGCGTATCCTGTAAAACAGGTAGGGAGGGTTAGGGCTTCACTGGGACAGCCTGAAGGGGAAGAAAGCTAGAGTTAAAGAAGTAGAATGCAAATGTGAATATGTGAGGAAAGAAAGCCTCTTTTAGTGTGTAAACCCTGTAGTTTACTTTGTGGTCACCGGGCAGTGAAATTAACATTGTTCCAGTGTCTATGCTGTTAGGGAATACCTTAGTTAGAACAATCCCTCATCAACCACATGTTGAACCTTTTTGTTATTTGTTCAATCATAGGGCTGAAGTTTAGGTTATTGCATAGTTTTCATTCTTATCAATGACTATACCCATGTATGTAACTTCTTCACAGGGATACCATTAACTTCTTATAGGTCACATTCCTTAAGTGGTAATAAAACAGATTTGTTTAAGTTCATTCTTAAGCTTGAAACTGTTGAAAATTCACATTCAACACATTTCATTGATTTTATCCTTTCCTCTCTACTAGACAAAAATTGTAATATCATTTGCCAGTTGAGATCATTTAAATTCTTCATCTAAGGTCACTATACCTTGAAAACATAGTCTGTATATAAAAAAAAAAACTGACCTTTTTTAATGTGCACTGCCACAATCTGTGTGACAAGGAACAGAAAGGGGCCTTCACAAATAGACTGTGGAAGCTGCCAGTGGTCGCTGCAGCAGTGACCACTATATTTAGCGCCCCTAGTGGTAGAGACCAGTGACCGGAGGAACTAAGCCATATTATATATACAAATCTTAGACTACTTCCACTTCTTAATAAACCATTTTCAATGTCTTTATTCCTTTTTAAAGTAGGTTATCCATAAGAGTAACAAAGGCAAGTTCTCTTGTGGTACGTTCCAGTTTCGTCAGTTGCTTGTTTAAAGGTGGGGTATGCTACACCAGTACCCCTCTTTTTGTTAAATTCAGCTCACATCTCCTCACAGTCTGCTAGCTATCCATTCTGTTTGTTCACTGAAAACAAATCTGTTGTCTGTACACAGCCCTTGCTCTGCAAATTGGAAACAAACGTCGCCAAACAGCCACACAACACCATTCCAACTGTTCCAGACATGATTTGTGTGTGTTGTTGTTGTGCGGTCTATATCATGGTATTTGTCATGGTGTTGGATTTCTTCAGAATCGCTTGCTCCACCTTTAAGTCAGTACAATCATAGGTTTGCGTCACTTCACTCAGTTTCGGACCCATTCATAGGTCTGACAATTCTTCTGCAAGAGTTTTAGTTTTTGGTGCACAAGATAATAATAAAAGCAAAAGGAATGTTTTTATCTTGTTTCAAACCATGAACTTTTTGTTAATTTCTTATGCAACTCACATTTTACAATAAGTTCAACATTAAGGTGCATATATTTTTTTATCTCCAAATAAACAAAACAAATAAAATTGTTCTTATCATTGGTAGTACATAACCAGAACTGACAGTCTGCAGTGGAAAGATTTTGACACCGTTCTGCAATAGTGTAAAAGTAGATTAGCAGCAAAATAAATAAAACATGCATCAAGATAAAATTAGAATTACATTAAAATACAGAAACTCATAACTGAACTGAGACCTGCGACAAAAATTACCAAGTAATTTTACTCCATTATTATTACACATGGCTACATTGTACTTTTCCTCTGCTATATTATATAAGTACAGTTTGCTGCTAATGATGCTTAGAAGGTTTTACTTAAACATAATGTTTATATTTTAAATGCATGGTGGTATTGCTACTTTTACTCAAGTGATTATTTTCTTTATGATTTTTGACAATGTGTATCTCTCTCATCCTTGAATTCATTTGTAAAGTAAAAGGTTATATTTAATAATATTATATTTAACTTACTGCTTACTTTAGGAACATCTCTTATTAACTGTAAGAACTAGGAAAAAACTTTCCCCCGTCTTTGCATCATATTATCATTACTTTATTCTTTTCAACATTAAAACTGATCTAAAACACATTGGGATCAATGTGCAGATCAATCAACAGATGCTGATGACCAGCACTGCAGAGAGAAAATCCAACCAAATCATCTGCATGTTAAATAATTTTTTAATATAGGATTACCTCAAAACACCACCTGGTATACAAGCATTTAACTGCCCAAACAAGTCATCCACATGCTCTACAAGTTGAACAAGAATGGACACAGTAACCCTAACCATACAGGTTAGGTGGGGTAGTGCTCAATTCCACTCTGTTGAGGTGGAGCACTACCCCACCTTACCTGCATGGTCTCATAGGCATAATAATACACAAGAATCCTTAGATCCTGAATAGATATTTAGGTACTTTTATCATGCCTGCTTTTGGCCAAGCTATTATTTGTTGTGTTTAAACATTCATTGAATGTAAACATATGTTGTTTTAAAGGGAGACTGTGTAACTTTTAAGAAAAAAGAATTGAGCATTGAGAAGTTAAATTCTTAAGGAGTGTTGGGAAGGGTGGAAAAAGGTAATAGGTTACCGATAACAAGCTATCCTATTTAAAATGAAATGCTAGTGTAACCTTTTTCAATTACTTTATCGAAGACATGTAACCTATTACATTTCATTACTTTTTGATTACTTTTCTAGATTTCTAATGAATGTTTTCAACTCTCAAGACAGCTTGAGAGGCAATTTTACTGGCAGAGGGGTGGCGCAGAGAATTCAAACATGAGAACCAATCAAAAGAATCAGATTAGCATCAAACTTGTTGTGGCTGGAAATGGCAAAGGAAGACATGGTGCACATGAAAACATGCAAAGCAACAAAATGAATATTATTCAACATATAGCCTTTGTAATTAAATTATGTAACATCATCACATGTTGCTATAGTTACCCCCCTACACTGTTCATAAGCAACAACAGGCACCGGTACTCAGTTCAGGGCAGGTGCTGCTTCGCTGGCATTCAATTTCCAGAATTCTCCTCTGCAACAATTACATGTGCCAACTACTGCAAGTGGTAACGCACACAGAAGCATCTTGCTTCACTTTAAGATAACTGTACGGATTGTCACCTATATTGTGACTCTTGTTGCCACTTCAGTGTTGTCGTGTTTGATTAGGCTAACACACTCCCAATCAGGAGCATGGCACGGGAAACGAAAATCTCCCAAACATCTAGTGTTGCCCTTGTTTGGTGGATAGGCCTGTTGCCATGGCTCCCATGGCAAATTGTATACAAGGGGTTAACTCCAAATCACCTAACAAACTGAAATGTGATATATACATTCATATATATGTATATCTATATAATATAGCTATATGTTTCTCTGTCGGACAATATGCTTCATGTTGCAATGTTCTTAATAATGGAAAAGCGGTCATTCCAAGAGCTGCTTTAAAAAACAAAATGACCAAACGCTCACTCCTACTTGCTGGTAATGTAGCTACATCTTAATTCTGGGCCAACTGTAGGAGAAGTGGGCCTAGATCGACACTATCCACCGGCACTGGCGGAGGCTACATCTTGGTTTGGATGGTAGTAGACTGGGACAAGAATTTACTGTTAACTGCAATCTGCCTACCTTTGAAGCCGACAGACTGGGTGAGTTTTCAGCCGATTTAACTACAGGTATCTTACCAACTGTTGCCCCGTCTCCCATGGAAAATTGTATACAAGGGGTTAACTCCACATCGCCTAACAAACTGAAATGCTAGATAAATCTCGCAATTGTGAAACACAGGGGGTTTAAACTTTTCAGAACAGTGAACCAGGCTCGTATTCTGTGGGACTCGGATTATTAAGCGGACATTTGAATATCCAAAGCGCAATGAACAACTACAACATCTAATATAGGAATCACATTTGGACTTCTTATGCCTAACCGAGATGTGATTGCACGAAAACTCTCCAGCTGACACATTAAAAGTGCACCATTATAATATGTTTAGACAAGATAGACCTATTGGTCAGAGTGGAGGTGTGTTATTTTATGCCAAGGACGATATAAGTTGTAAGCAAATCAATGGTCCTGTGTTAATGATCAATTTTAAATTAGCCCTCTCAGCCCAAATGCCATTCACTGTGATTGTAAAATATAGACCTATACATCCTTCTTAAAGTGTATGATACTAACAATGAGATAATTTTATTATGAGATTTTAATATAAACTGGAATGAAAAAGCAAAAAGGTATAACAAGTAATTTTGATTTTCAATAGGTTGTTGAAGGACCTAAGATTACCAGTTCTTCAAACACTCATTGATTTGGTCTTTACTAACAGGCCAGAAAGAATAAAGAAATCATATAATATGGGTACAGGTTAATCTGACCACAATATGATTTTAATTTATCAGCAAACATTCATCTAGAACATTATAAAGTTCCTAATGGACAATTAACTAATCTTGAAAATGCAATTAAAGAAATAAAATGGAATGAACAAAAATGTAGATGATAACTATAATAGACTGATGTGTGAACTTCAAACAACTATATACAGTTTTATGAGGAAAGTAAAATACAAACAGCCAAATAAATAATCTACCATCGTTTAATGAAAACATAAGGTCACTCCTGACGGCATGTGCTTTGCATCATTATTATGACTCAACTTGAATTCCTCTGAGACCAGATCCTACAATTAATTGCACACTGCCAGCACTCTCGCCCTTAGGTGAAGATGAAGAATGTACAGGTTAATGTACAGGTTAAGCAAGGCAGTGAGAGAAGCTAAATTACTGTACTCAGGGAAACTACAACATCAATTATCAGCCAACCACTGCTTTTGTCTGGAGGGTGCTCAAACAAATCACCAACTACAAATCTGAAGCCCCCCACTCCA